TGTTTCTTAAAGCAAGGTCTATGTAATAGCAAGTTCTGAGGTAATTTTTCTGACATATTTTGTGGAAAGCTTGTTTTTGGAGCACAGCTCTACTCCAAAATCCTGTATTTCCAAAAGTGATATGGAAATTTGGCAGCATATTGGAGTCTGATGTCCCTGGAAATAAATCAGATCTGGGGCCAGAGGAACTTCCAGGAATCACCCAGAGTCAGGTAGTTCAGTTGTGGCATATCTTTCATAAAAGCAATGAGAAATCTCAGTAAGTTAATAAGCTTGCAAGTCATCAGATTTTCCACATGCAGTCATGTAGTGCAAGTGCAATAGAGTGTATTAATAGTACTCCAATGTAACATTTTCCAAGTGTTTTGTAGTAATACTGGTTGGGTCATGTACTTCTAACAAGCGTTAATGTTCCTCGGGGAAGACTCAGAGTATGAAGTGCCTTATAGTACCATAAAATGCAGAATAATCACATCTGTGAAGGACAGACCACAGTGAAGCTGACAGGAATATATGATGCTTGTGTATCGTGGAACAGGCATTCCCTCTATTTCAATGAGGAGCTGGAGGAAATTATTTTGAAGAATATGCATTGTATACATGAAGCAGGATGTAACTTTACATAATGCACAAGTTTTCTATTTAATCAACACGTGGCCATGGGGTGCTTCTGGAACAGAAAAGACCTGGAATTTCCTGCTGTCACCCCAAAATCTTTGTCCAGTATCCTTTCCTGCCCTTATGTTTATTTTCAATAGCTCCTGGCTCTGCACTGAGTTTTTGGACAGTCAGGGCCATGCTTTTTGCCCCAGAGGATGGAGAAGGTGATGATGAGATGCCACATGGGTACCATTCCCATGAGTTAGTCTTTTGGTGAGGACATCCTAGAATATGAGCCTGACTTGTGGCTGGGACTGAAGAATTGTCTCTTGATAACATTTGATTAGTCTGCATGCTGTTATTTTGAGAAAAAAACAAACCCGTAGTTGAAAGATGCATCCAGTTAAGAGAAGTTCCAGTTGAACATAATGTATTTCCATTGATGGACCACGGGGGAAAGGTTGAGTCTTTCTTTTGTAAGAACTGCTACTGTTAACGTGTCTTTAATTGACAGCAGTATTAGCTGCCAGGCAGTATGGCTAACAGCCAGTGCCACTGCAAATGATGGAAGGCAGAGCTTAACAGCCTAACAATGTCTTTATATTTCAGTCCCAGACTCAGATTTGTACCCAAAGTTTGACACGGTCCCCTGCTGCAGAGATGCTCAATATATCCTTACACATAGACGTTTTTCCTACTTTGTCTGCAGTTAAGGATGCTTCTGAGCAAGAAAGTACAGATCTGCAGGTTCACATCTCCTGTGACTGTATGTCATGGCAGTCTGTTGTCACCTGCCCTGTGGTGGCTCCAGAGCTCTGCAATAGCAGAGCATCCTGTCCCAGCTCACAGGGAAACATTCCTTACAGCTCTGCAGCTATAAAATCTTTTAAGTCAGGAACTGAAATATTTTGTTCTGTTAAAACTTCATACACACACACTTATACCCTACATATGATGATTTACAAGAACAACTTATGTTTTACAGATTGTATGAACTTCCAAGTATATTTTTTATATGGAAAAATTTCAGTTAATATCATAATCCATGTAATGGATTAACATCTGGTTCTGATTTCCCAAACCTCAGCTTCCAGACTCTTCAGAAATTAATGGGAAAGTCAGTAGACAGCTTCAACACAGAGCATAGTATTAATTCTTCATGTCTGTTTCATTTTACTTTATTTAGACTTGAAAGATATTCTGTCCTACTGGCACGAGTTCAGAGATCTTCCCTCATCACCCATGAATGGGAACCACATCACTACATTCTCATATATTATAACTCAAAGGAGAATTTTGAGGGAGAACAGCCAGAGAACTTCAGCCCAATCCATGCCATGAGTTGTATAAAACAGTTCTTGTACTTTCCATTGGTAGGACCTTTTCCACTAGTTGCTTTTTGAGATACTTTAATCAGCAGATTTACAATTTATTGATTAATACAGGTCTTCATTTCCAGACAGAAAGAGCCTTGTTAACCCCTGTCTTGTAAGCCAGTGAAGAATTGGGCCAATCTAGGAAACACAAGTTTGTTGTTTCAGTCCTAATATGTCACACTGGGAGTTTTGCACTTGATTTCAATGGTAATTATGAATTAAAAGAGAAATATTTATATGAGTGGTATCTATATGTGGATTTCTATTTCTTAAAATCTGTGTTGTGACATGTGAGATGTTGCCATTTTATTTGGCAACTGCATTGGTGCATATTAGGTAATGAAGTGTCAGGGAGGACTGGGGGGTCCTGTGGTTCTGGGAATATCCCAAGGAGATGAAAGGGAATTTGTAATCGTCCCTGGTAGGTGACTGCTAATTCAGAGATTCAGAGTAATAATTTTTACCTTTCTTTTATGTATTTAAAAAAAATTTGAAATTAATTTTTTTTTCTTTTGCATGGAACAATTATTTGCCATTATCAGGAGTATGTAACTGTCACACACAAGGTATTTTGTGCACTTATAAACTCAGCATATGCTTTCTTGGCACCCCAATGTTCTATTGTTGCAGCTGGTAATTTATGCACTTCATTTAATATAATCTTGCCAAATTATATGAAGTCTAATTTGACCCTTACCTCTGTACATCTAAAACTGATGATATGACTAATTTTTTTTTGCCCAGAAGTAGGGCTGAATGTAGAAGAGAGTAAATACTCAGAGTGCTAAAAGCTCTCAGATTTATATCTCGAGATCAAAGACCGAATCTTATCAAATCCATTCCTTTTTCATGAGCAATAGCCAGGGACTAGCCACAGACATAATCATGTTCAAAGAAGTTTCACAGCCTAAGACTCAGTGTGTACCTCAGGTATGCAGGTGATAACAAGGATACAGGCAGGTCATGGCTGTGACTGCAGGGCAGAGGATATTTAAGTAAGAGATGTGTGCGTGGCCATGAGGACCAGAAGGGTACAGACAGCATTGAAGGCTTGGCAAGGGAAGCAGTTGGTGAGAGAAGACAGATTTTGGAAAGAATGAGGGAGAGAGGGATTGTATAAAAAGAAGCAGGGTAACAAGGAAGACAAACCTTTATTTCATGTAACTTGGGTTGCTGCCTCCTGAGAAGCTGCTGCTGGATTTTGCTGCCCACCAGGCTGTGGCAATTCTGCTCTTACCATGGGGAGGGAAGGGGGGGTGTTTTATCCCATGCAGCTGGCAATGGGAGCCCCATTGCTTCAGTTCTGCAGCTGAACCTGAGATATTTCTGTATGTTTAGAAGTGATAGCTGGGGGCAAGGGTGCTGAGGGAGCCCAGAGGGAAAGCAGAGAAGTCCTGAGCACTGCAGTGAGACCCTGTGAGGTGCTGATATCCACTTTGATGTATGTTTCACAGCTGAGCACTGCACTGGCCCTGTAGCATGACCCAAGCTGGAGGCATGTGCCCCTAGGTGTGAGGCAGCCCTGACTGCCCCAAGCTCTACAGGAAGGTGCCTCCATTGGCTCCTGCACACAGGCTGGGACTGGAGTGCCTTCATCCCCTCAAGTAAATCAGAACCTATCACACATTGATTCAAAGCACTCCTAAATAAATGAGCCTTTCAGCTGGTGTCAATAGGATTTCTAGTTTCTTTTCCATTCCTCAGCATCCTTGGCTCCCCAGAGAATATAATCAAGCATAGGAGACTAACAATCAAGGCTTGGAGATTTTAATGTAGTATCCAGGCACAGCCTTGAGGAATCATGTTTGCTGACATTAGGTTGACTACAGCTTTATGGTCATTTTACACATGACAGCACGTCAACTATGTAAACCTTGCTGGAACAGGAGATTGCCCATGACTAGCTGCTGTGAAACTGAAATGATTTGTCTGTGTCTATGTGGACTGAAAATCATGGCTACTGTTTGCTAGTCATTGCAATCTCTCAAGCTTCTTTTCTGACTGGGTGTAATTTTGTAGTGGAGACAAGGCATTAAAGGAGCTCACAGTGCAGGTGTGTCCAGGTCCCCACTTCACCAGTGCCTCCCATCAGACTGAATGGGCATCACCTTGAGAGCACAGATCATATTGTATTTTCCTAACTTCAATGGAATTTATTCCAAGGGAAATCTGTGCTGTTGCAAAGGGAAGTATTCCCCCAGGTTGCTTAGGGTAACAGAAATGAGCTGTAGCTGATGCAATTTCTGCTGAATAACCTGTGGATTCAGGTACCCTTTAACATAACTGGTGTAGAGTTGGAGCCCTTGAGTTCCTGTGCTTTCAGAGTAAGTATAGAAAATAATAGATGTGCTAGCCTGCCCCTTGGATCATAGCAATTTTGTAAATAATGATTATGCCTGTTCTCATTTTTCAGCCTTAACAAAGCTATATAAAGTTTATGGTGTAGTTAATTTTAGGAAAATAATTTAAGTATGGCTTTAAAGCATAATTTTGTGCTACAAGTTAACTACATTTTGCTTTAAACTAGCATAGAAAAATTGAAAACCCTTTGACATATTCTTTTTGACCAAAATCAAATGTTCCTGTATGGTCCATAACCTACCACTCCATGTGTCACAAAGAAAACAGAAATGTTCCATTTTAGTTTTTTGTGATATTCCATTCCATGTGACTTGACGTACAGTTAAGATTAGGATAAACAGACCTTATGCAACATAACATCCAAGTACAGAACATTTTATAAGACAAAAGGAACAAAGACTCCCACTGAAAACCTGCTGGTGTCAAAAAATCATTTATTCTGTAGTTGTTGACTTGCCCCTGTCTAAATGACAGAGGCTTAGTTACAGGAAACAATATTCCAACAAATGCTTGTGAAACCCTGTATAATTCCTGTCACATCAAAAGCCTGTGTGGAATTGTGTGCTTTTTTTGGCTTCAGTGCTCTTTTTTTCTCACACATACAGAAACAATACATGAGGAAGTATGTATGCTTAACAAGAAAGAAGGCTATTTTTTACAAACACAGCACATCAATGAATTTTAAACTGCAGGTCTGAAGTTTGGGTGAATTTCAGGGCTGATGTCACATATTGTGCTCAAGAGCTTTTTCATCATGCTCTCCATGTTCTTGTGGTAGCTGCTCGTGAGGTTTCGGATGGCTTCTGTTGTTTGCTCTTCTATTTTGACAGAGAGGTTACCTTGGGAGCCCATTACCTGAAAAGCAGAAGACCTCTGACTACCTCTGACCAAAATGTGAGGTTATATATAACCATGTTTATTGTACTTTTCTTCATCATGTAGCACAAGCATAACACAAACACACCACAGTGCTTCCAAACACTGAAGGTTGGATCTGGTTTCAACTGTATGCATAAAAACAGGATTGAAGGCAACTCTCATATGCTCATTAGCAATGGGAATCTCCCTATGTAACTAAAGTTTCCCAGCTCGCTATGAGAAAAACATTGTGTATGTTTTGTCTTTTATATGGCTCATTTTAATTTGTTTTCTATTTTAATGACTAGTCAGCTAAGTTCTATCACTGTGTGCCTTCCTTTGGCCTCACTGAGAATGCCTGTGAGTGCAGCTAAGGACCAAACATGGAAAAGCCTTCCTGAAAATGCATAATTACAGTTTCAGAGTACTTGAAATGTCTTCAGCAGTTAGTGATGTATAACCCTCAACAGGCCTCAGACAAGGTCTTTTAATGTTACATTTTCTTATCTGGCGAAATACCAGACAGTTTCTGGCACAGTTAATATCAGGACATTCGCTTAGGATTTAATTGACTCTAGACTCACTGAACATTTTAGCAAGGTTATGTTATAAACAGATGCACACGTTCCAAATCTGTGACTTTGCTCCCTCCTCCCCCACTGCCCCAACATCCCTTGAATTCTTCCCTTATGGAAAAGTCCTTCAGATACCAGCAGAGAAATTGGTTTCCAGCTAAAGAATTCCATGTGGAGAGAAGACGACATTTCTTCATGCTGGCAGAATAAGAAAGGAATAAGTAACATATTGCTCTTGCTCCTGCCACGGTTCTCTGGGGTGGACTATCAGGTGGAGTTAACCTGGGTGTATTAGTGGGGTACCTAGAGCATGACCAGAAACAAGGGAGGGGTCACTAACTCTATTTTCCATGTGGTTTCAGCCCAACTTAGTCCTTAAAAGAAGGAAAAGCATCTTTGCATAAGCCACCTTCCCTGTTCCATTTATCAGTACCTGGCAACATAGTAAGATATTTGTCCATAATCCACATGTAAACCATTTTTCAATTTGGAAGAAATGTAGGCGGTAGACATAATATTAAGTATTGGGAAAAGATTACAATTTTCTATAATAACTATTTTTAGCTGATGTTTTATTTTAACTTTTAGGCAAGTTGCAAGGGTTGCGTGTGGGAAAGGTTGTACAGCTTAGACCAGATTTATGGAACTGAATTTTTCCACTGGGGAAAGTAACTTTCTAGAGATCCCAGATGGTTGCATGTTATCCAGCTACTAAGTACTTCTGAAAAGCCTCAAGAAAAGTATTATAGTTTTAAGAAGAGCCTCTGCAGACCTGCTTTCTCAGCTAATATTGTAATTTGAGATAGTAAATTCTTACTCTTCTACGTGTTTTTCCCTCTCTTTTTCTGCTTCTGAACTTGAGGACCTTTTTCTTGCAGAATGCAGGCATGCTCTGCTTAGTTTATGATTTCTGCTGACCCTGAAGGTTTGTCCCTTATTTTTCCCATACAGGTTTTATGCTTGTGTCATTTCAAAGCTGCTAAAATATTGCATTGGCTCAGAAGCCACAAAATTCAGAACTAGCACATCTCCAGAGTTAGGGGATCTCTGACACTGAGTGAAAACCCTATGAACTATAGCAAAATTGGTTTGAGATCCAGGCAAAAAAATTAGCATGTTTTGAAAATAGATTTTGCATATTGTCATTCTAACCTCAATCATTATTTTCCTGTTGCTGTTGTTAATTCAGGATGGATATGAAGCATTTCATAGTATGAGAAAATTTGTTTCTCTTTGGATACAAGTGACACAAAGTAAGAGGAAGAATGGCATTAAAGGAGATTGTGACAGAGAATTAAAAATACTTGTGCCCAAATACCTGAGAAAGTAAACTGAACTGGGCACCAGAGCTCCCTGTACACTGCTTTGCAGGAGCTCCTGACTGCGTCCCAGACACAGGTTAATAATGATGGCATTTGTCTGGGCAGATGAACGTTTGACATAATGGGGTCAGGGAATATGGAGGAGGACTGCAGTGATCTTGTACAACATGCTGGCATTTGAGCAGCAATATGTGCTCTGTCCTGCTCCTGTGAAACCTTCAGTCGACAAATAGTGGCCTTTCCCTGAAGCTTTAATTTGGTTGTGATGGAAAAACTGAGTTCACAAAAAAGCAAAATCTTTACTCTTCTGCTATCAAGATGTAGAACAAGAAGGCTTGACTGAAAAGGTCAACAAATTTTAGAGGTGTTTTTTACTTTATTTTGGTGTCAGTAAACAACTGAAATTGTACATTTGAGACACTGTGTGACAGTGTGTCTGGGGATTGGCAGGGTATGGTAGGGACTTTGTGTGTACAGATGTTCCTAAGGCTTGTGATCCCTGCTGGAAAGCATTTTATAGGAAGTGTGACTGAAATGACAGGTTTATAAAACAGATTTTGTTTGACCTCTTTGGCTATTATTTTTGTGTGTGTGTGTGTGTGTGTGTGTGTCCATTTTTGCCTTTCCTCGTCTTTATATAATACGAACTAGGGGAAAAAAAAAGATCAACAATGTAGGAGGAAGGTCACCTGAAAAGAGAATGGTTTGTGAATTGCATGAAATACTAGAGAAAAATGCAAGATGCCATATATGTATGAAATGGCTTTCTTCAGATATGAAATTATTGAATCAGACAACTTTTAATTTAAAAACAGTGAAAAACTCCAAAGTTTTGGTGATTTTCAGTTTGATAAAGGATGCGGTCATATATAATGAAAGAGACAGCTGAAGTGGAACAGGAATGGAAAGAAACATTTTAAACTTTTGCTTTTACTGACACATCCACCTTACTGAATCCCCTAGTCTCAGGACAGGAACTAGGTCTGTCTGTGGTTATAGAAAAAGGACCCAAAAGTATTTTCCTTAAGGGACATATGTCTTCAAAGCATAAACATGAACCAAATATGGAATCTGCAGCACTTTAGTGATGAATATCCACAACGTCTTCTACAAATGCATTCCAAGCCTATGAAAAAGTCCAAATGAAGCATATAGCCACTGTAGATGACACCCGTGTTTAATCAGTATGAGCACACTGGTTTGCAGGAGTCTCCATGTGATACTCTTGGAAGCAATCTGGCTTACCACTGAGCAGTTTGATATGACAAAAGAACATATGCAGGTTTCTTACTTACGTTTGTTTCCTTGTTTCTAAATTCCTTCTCCCTCTGCAGTCTGTAGTGGTCTATCTCAGCTGTGGCTTCTTCCTTGGCCTGCTTCAGCCTTTTACCCTTTCCTAGAGGAGGAAGAAAGAGGCATTTACTTCATACCATCCCATATCCCCAAAGATGAATCTCTCCAAATCAGAGATATTTCAGCTGGCATAGTACAACACTGACTTTGCTGAAAGTCTTGTCCATTGGATTTATTCAGACAACAATGGTCAGAAGAGACAAAGTGATTTACTTAGAATACTTTTTGACTGCTAACCAGTCATGCAAGTACCCCTCTTCTGAGACCAACTTCCTCTGCAGAAGCGCGTATCAACTGAAGAGCTTCTTGGTTTGCTGACAACAGAAGTCTTTTTGCAAGTAGACGTCTTCCTGCCACACAAATGCATTTTTTTTCTAATCACAGCTTGGTGTTTAAATAAATATCTATCTTTTCTTCATCAGCAATAGTAGCAGCCAGATAACAGATTTTAGTTGTCACGGATGGGAAAAGACATTATTCTGTAAGATTTCCTGTATTGATTGGTTGCCAGAATCCCTTCATCCCACACCAACTGGATTCTGCTTAGAGCTGGCAGATATCCAAAATAATGCAAGATGTCTTAACCACTACCAAACTGAGTTGCAACTTTCAGGCTTTGTCCTTTTCTCCCCCACCCTTTTCTACTAACCTTTGTTAAATGCAGAGGTGAGTTATTAAGAGAAGGAGGTCAATAGTATTCTTTGCCAGTGCACAGAAACCATGAAAGGGATTAACATTTTTTTTTCTTTTCCTTTTGAACAAGAAGGTGTTCTGTAAGATGACATTTTAGGGTGTAGTGGAAACTAGAGCCTTCCTCCTCACCAGGCTTACTTACATACCTAATTTTGTTGGCTGTGAATAGTTAGTTTTAGGTAAAACGCTACAGGCTTGCCAAATTAAGAGTATATAAGACATTGCAGGACTGGACATAAGGTACTTCCTGGATCTAGTAGAGTTGTCATGTAAAGAATAAAAGTAGATGGTTTGATGGAAATGTGATGTTTAAGGTTTTACATGAAAGAGCTGGCGTGCATGTCATAAAATCACTATGGGCTTCTCTGTCATTTATAAAGTTGGTAAAGTTGCATGGATCTCCTCAAGATTCTGCTATACTGCCTTTTGAAGAAACAGTAGTTTTCTAACTGTAAACCTCTTGCATGGAATGTTGGTATGTTATACTTGAGACACCTAGGCTGATACTGATTTTTGGGGTCTCTTGCTGCTGTACAGCTAGAATTTTAGGAGCAGGGGGAATAAGGTTGCTTCCTTTTCTTAACAGGAGAAACATCTTCAGTGGCTGAAAAACTGCTTAATTGCTTAAATTAGGATATCACAAGAATGTGAGTGTGGCGGCCTAGGCAGCTGAAAGAGCCATCTTGATCTCTTGTGGCACATTGATTTATTTACTTACGGTAACAACCTATTTAACACCACGGAGACTGAGCAATAAGAATATTTTTTTTCCTCTTAATTCAAGCATAGAAGACAAAAGATACCTTTTCTCCTTTCCTGAAATCCTAGGAAACAAGGAAACATTCTCTTTCTAGGCTAGGAAGAAGAGCATAAATATTTCTCATTTTCTTTCTCCAAGCTGTTACACTGCTTTAGTTACACCTGAGCTGGGCTTCTCAAGCCTTATTGGGTGTGTCACATAGCAACTTGCTCCCACTGAGCATGGCATCATGAGGAAGCTGAATCTTGGGAGGAAGACTGTTTTAATACATCTGAGATCCAGCAAAAGCCTGGGTAAAATACCTGATTCAGCAGGGAATTACTTCTCCAGCTGATTGCTCCTTCCAAAATAATTATCTGCAGATGGGCGAGTAGAGGCAGAAACATGGACAAAATGGGAATTACGTTTTAAATCTTGATTCCTGAACTGTTGGTTTTTGTGGGTGTGCTTATTGTGGAACCTTGGGTGTGGCATGTGTACAGGCTTTTTACAGGAAGGAACAGCCTACTGAGCAACTAGATAGCTTTACTGACTCCCAGTCCATCAGTGCAGGCTCTCTTGTGTGGGAAATTATATTTCTCAGAGTCCTTCTCCCACTGTGCTTATGTATAAAGGAGAGAAAGGCTGTTTAAAACCTAGTGGGTACTTTTCCAGAGTCTATATTTGTTTGAAAAAGGCTGATTTCCCCCAGCTTCTGCCACTCACTGTATGAAATGTTGTGCCTAGGATGAGTGAACTGACAGATCTGTGTAGGAGCCTGACGTAAGTCTGGACAACACAATTTGGGACCAGGATTAGGTCTGTATTTTGAAATTTCCTTTATTCTCCTCTCCAAATTTGGAGCAGATCAGCCTTTTGTAGAGTTTCCACTCTGTAGGAGTGGGGCTGGGGGGTGATTTTCTGGAGCTGGCAGTCAGGGGGAGGGACTATGATGAAGCTTTGCCAATTTCACCAGCTGAGGAACTGGATCTCTATAGCAAATTAAATTATTTCAAAATCAGTGGGATTTTAATTTCAAATTCCATCTGGGGGGCCATCTGTAGTAAATATGTTGCATATTTGGCCACCAGATAGATAAATATATCCATTTAAGATGCACAAAATGGAAAGAGATTAACTATAAAACAACAGTTCAGTTGCCTCTGACAATGTAGATAGTGAACCAAAGATTATATATATACATTTGTGTCAGCTCTTGCCAGTGCTCTGGAGTAAGCACAATGCATAGGGTGTCACTGTAGGGTGGCAGCCATTTCATTTCTCCATGATGCCTTTAGGATTGGCACAGCAGGAACCTGCTGCTTCCTATTTAATTAAGTGGAAAAGCTGTGAGTAAATTACTGCTAGTTCAACAACGTTGTGGACAGAATCGGCAACTGCCAACATATGTGATGGTGCATATGCTGCACCTGATTAAGTTAAGCAGAAACTAGAGCTTAACCTGCTGTTCCACTAGAGACAAACCAAAATTAATTAATCAGTCTGTTGTTAACCACTTGTCTGCTACCGTAGTTGTGCAATACAGGACTGCCTTTTCAAAGCCTTACTGATCTGCTGGGTTGGGTTCTCTGCAGAGCACAGCCAAGCTGAAATCAATCCTTACACACTGAAGGGTGGCGGGGCACTGAAATTCAGCCAAAATCATGCAAAAAGAGGACAAGAAGTGCAGGAGGATGGGCAAACCAGCCTGGCCCTATGACATTTCCTCAGGATCACAGAGGTGAGGTACAAAAAGCCCCAAGTTTGAGGAGATTTTTGCCACAAAGGTCATGCTGTGGGGGCTGGCACTGCTGCTGGCCGTCAGTCCCCCCTTCCATCCTTGAAGATGGGGAGCAGCAAAGCAGCTGTGCTATGCCTGGTATCTTTGTCCACAGCCTATAAATTTTTAGGCATTGTGTTAAATTGGATAAATTTTTAAATTTGCATTGTATAGGATTTTCTTGCCTAACATGGGAAGGTGTTATTAGCATGGAGAAATGCTGTATTCTTCTTTCTAGGTATTTCTGTGATGTTAATGAAACGCCTTGCTCTGGTTAAATCCACGAGAACTGGTGTCTTTTAGGCTGGAGTTTTTTAGATCTTGCAAGAAAGACAGTAGGAGGCAAGAATGTTGCATTCCAGTTTGTTCAAACACTAATTCATCTTACTTTCCAAAAACTGCAATGCTAAAATTGGAGTTTTGTTTTCAAACATATCATCTAGGCTTCTAGCTGAATTTCTGCATAGAAATCAACTCATTTGAAGAAGTTGCCAAAAATTAATCGTATTTTCTTAAAATAGAACCATTTCAGTTGTCTTTGCTAAATTGTCTGGAAAATGAGATTTGGGGATGTGCATTCTGAGAAAACCACTTTGTACTTTCAATAAAATGGAATAGAAGCAGCTGAGCATTATGTATAGCTTTCTCAGTAGATAAAATATATCTTGGATATTATCCAAGAGAGTGCCATGGATAAAATTCTGTTTACAATATCTTATTTTGATTAACATTTGGTTTTAATTTGATTTTCTATAATCTTTCAACCGAGCTTTCTTTTCATTAGGCATGAGAAATTCAAGGGAAGATATAAAAATTTATAGGAGAACAAGTTTTGCTAAGCCCAGTGTTCATGACACATTTGTTTCCCTTATTTTACCCAAAAGGATTTTCAGGAATTGATGTCTTGGCACTGACGCTGCTCAGTTATTCCTGGGATTCAAATTGTGCTTAAAGTAAAAATAATAGATAAAGTAGCACCATGTTCAAAAAGCCAAAGGATTGCAGACTGGTTTGGCTTGTGTTTAATCAACTTAATAATTTCAGCTTTGCACGTGTTCATTTAATAAATTATTAAAATATTAATAATTTTTTCAGGTATAAATGATATCAGCTAATGATGTCATGCCAGGAAAAAGGGTACTGAGCAAGAAGTAAGAAAAAGCATTTACAGAGGAGCTTTAGCACTATAATTTTGCTTTGTTTTGTGTATATCAATATAATTTTATTTGCTAATTTTTTCAGTCATTTCAAGGCTTTTGCATTACCAACAACTGCACATATGTCAGCAAAACCTAGGCCCATTAACTGTTTATATACAACATTATGTGTGTTCACACTACATTTTGATTGGTTATGTGAGTATCAACTGTAAACACTGAAGGCTTTGCATCAGGGCAGTTTTGCCAGTCCCATTTCCTTGCAAATGCCTTTTCCTGGTGTGTCCCATGGACAAGCTGCCAGCTGATGTCCCAGTGTCAGCACAGCAGCCAGACCCATGGGTGCAGTGGCGATGTGCAGTGCCTACCTGGGGTGACAAAGGAGGTCACAGGGCTGGTGTGGCAGGGCTGGGAGGGTTCAGTGCTTTCCTGGCAGCCCAGACCTGCCAGGAGTGCAGGCCCTGGGCAGCAGCTGCTGATCCCAACTGGTGCTGGCTGGATCTGAGCTGGCCATTCTGGGCTCCTTGTTTCACCCAGCTGTGTGTGCACAGGTCAGCCAAGTGCACTGCACAGACCTGCTGCATGTCATGTATTGCCTTTTAGCTTGGCTTTTTCGCTCAGAGACAAACTCTGCAATCCTTTGTCTTGATCTAATTGCAGAATCAATGTGGGGAAGAGACTGCTGAAGTAATCCCTACTTAGAATAGTCAGATTTTCCTCTAAAAGAATCAATCCCTTTTGCCCTTGTCCCACAGTATTCCAGTTATGCTGGCATAGTTATCTAAAGTGGTGTAGTGACAGTGTTATGAAAAATACTTAAATTAGGGACAACATGAAAATTTAAAAATTTGTTTTGTAGCTTCACTGCAAACTTCTTGCAATGCTGACTATAATGGTTGTCTAGCTATAATTATGCTGGTAGATCACCTATAATGCTTGGTTTGGCACAAAATCCAGGGTGGATTTATTTAAACTGTTTGCCCTTGATCTGCTAATTTTGGAAATTCTTGAGGCTTTCCATGGAATCACACAAAACTGCTGAGGCTGGAAGGAGTCTATAGGATACTCTCCCTGATGGAAGCAAGGGCAGATTGGCTGGGGCTATATCCAGTGGGTTTTAAATGTCTCTGAGAATGGAGAATCCCCAGCCTCTGGGCAGCCTGTTCCTCTCTCACAGTCACTGGGTTGTTTTTCTTATGTTTAAATTTGGGTATTGAAATTTTAGTTTTCCTTATTAATTTTTTTATGCAAGAAAACTGTGGCCTGAAAAGTAATAGAAAAGAAATCCATAGTGATGACATATTTTTACTCTGAATAATTTTACTGATAGCAAAATTCTTAATATCTATTTTTCTGTAGCTGGTTAATAATTCCTACTCTAGTGTGTTAGTGTTGAGGTAAACACTGGAAGTGGTTTAATTCAAGTTTCTGACTCAGAGGAGTCTGAAGATACTTAATCTGTAAGAAATCCTGTTGTTACCACACCAAGTGAGGCTAAGGTGATGACAAGGGAGTGTGTCTTTTGCAGAGTACAGTAAATGTATCCATAACTGTGTCTAGATTCTGCAAGACATTCATCTTTGGTCATCACTTTTACTTTATAATGATTATTTTCATTTTTGGAGTTCCTTTATTTATGAAGCTTCCTTTTTAACTGACTGTTATAGAAAAAGCTAAAGTGACTCTTCTGGTTTTAAACAAACACAAATGAAATTAAAGCAACAAAAAAACCCAAACCAAAAGTAAAGGGTAATCCACTTAAGCTATGATAGTTAAAGGCCTGATTCTGCAGTCTGTGTTCAGGCCAAACTCCTTCTCCTTCCACTGAGGCTGTGTCTTTCCAGGTCGTGTGCTCTCTTTGAGGGAGCAGTGTGTTTTCTCTGCCCTACATGAGAAGGGAAAAAACATCCCTCCCAGAGCTCCTAGTTTGGCTGTGTAAGAGGTCAAAACGCTCAACTATGACCTCAACTATCCCTTGCTTTCAGGTTTCTGCCTGAGAGAGTTCTGTTTTATGAAGGCAGGAGGATTTGTTTTAATCTCTATTGTGTCTGCAAGGCACAGGCAGTGGCTGGGTGCTTAGGGAGGGGAGTTGCCTTTCTACTTATTCTTGTGTGCTGCTGCAAAAATTGACACATCACACTAAAAATTAATGAACACACAACAATGCTGATTCACGTGTAGAAAAGATATGGAAACAACACGAATTATTCTGTTTAGCTTCCATTCCTCCCTGGAAAACAAAATATATTCCTTTAATTGTGCTCTTGCTCCACATGACATCATTGTCATCCATTTTCTTTTCATTCTGCTGCTGGTTTCTAAAGCAAGATCACTCCAGAAAACAGTATTAATGTTTCAGTGCTAGTGCAGGTCAATGACTCGTGTGGTTGTACCTGCACTCAGGAGAATAATTGTACCATGTAATAAAACTTCTGTGAATGATCTATTACAGTACTGAGAGTGCTCATGGTTTTACTCTGACTTTGATTACTATCAGGGTGCTGAAGTCTCCTCTTAGTTTTCATATAATTTTTTGAAGCCCAGCTTCAATTAGGAGACAAGTTAGTAGATTTTGCAAGTAAAGAGGAACACTGAAAAATTTTAGCAATATTAATAAAGAAAAATAAAAAGTTTGGAGTCTGGTCCTCTGGAGCTGGCAGCCAAAGGCATGTAGGACTTTAATTTAAATAGCAAGGCAGTAACGACATTATCAGCATCGAGATAAAGGAAGAACAAATGCAGCTGACAGGATGAATATAACAAAGAAAATCTTTTTTAATGTAATAAGGCATGTGTACACATACACATAAGCACACGGGATTTTAAGCAAACTCTGAATGTGCAGGTTTCAGTAAACGCCTGGCTGCAGCCAAGGCACAGCACTAGTGCATGTGTACAGAAGAAATAATCTTTTTCTGTGAGCTACTGTAATTCTGAAGGGCTTGCACTTGAGAAGTACAGTAAAACCAGGCCAACTACTTACTTTTTTTGGCTTCCTCCAGTTTGTCCTTGGCACGTTTTTCTGCCTGCAAAAGCTGCTGGATTCCCTGAGACTGGCTGGTCATGCTGATTGCTGGGGCTGGTAAACTTCTGTGGAGACTGGAGCTCAGAGGGAGTTTTATACAGCTGCCAGGCTCTTCCTTGTGTTTTTTGTTCTGTGTGTTATTGCAACAAGCTTCCAGATTGTACCACCCCAGCCGGCCGTGCCTGGATTGCTGCTGGGGCACAGGCCTGGGAGTGCAGTCAGGAAATCAGCAGCCAGGCTGAAAGGAATGTCCTCCTTTCCTCAGGGTCACAGAGAACTTGAAGTGTCTGAGTAACACACTGGGGGGAAAAAGAGCACTTCAAATGGCTTGTATTTGAATGGGGAATTTTTCCTCTTTTAGGCTCTTATTTCTGAAGCAGAATACAGTTAATCTTGTCTAGGAACTAAGGGGAAAAATATTTTCTTGGCATTTCCTTTTAGTAAAACTTGCCCTCAAAGTGAAGAATCAGGCTCAGTCAACAATTAATTTTGGTTGAACACCAAGAACTGCTTGTAGGCTTCTGTTTAATGTTACTTTTTAACACTACTTTTAGTGTTTTCACTTAAAAAGAATTCAATAGGAATTAATTCACTGTGGACTAAAGTTTAAAATAGCATGTAGTGATTGAGGTATGCTCTGCCTTGTAATCTGCCATGATGGAGGTGAGTGGAGATGAGATGGAGAGAGAAACTGTGGGATTAGCTCTAAGATCCAGACTCTTGGAAGCTATGAATGGTGGACTAGGTTTTACTTTCAAGTCATAATGCACATAACAGTCAAACGAATGCCTGAGCATGGCTGTAAATGCACATCCTATTCCCTACAGAAGGAAAGAGTGATTTGTGAGCTACTGCATGAATAAGCAGCATGTTCGTATTCTGAATCCTCATCAAAAAACCCAAAAAAATCCCACTTGTTACAGGTACTTCAGCCATAGGAGAGATCTATTATTGTAAAAAAATACCTCACAGCATGAGTAAAGTATATTTATTATAGGTTCTTGATAGAGCTCTGCCAGGACTGGAGATCACCTCCTGATACAAATGTTCTCTTCGTGCTACAATTTTATATATTAATACATGTGATATGATTTCTGCATCTATTATAAACAACATATGTTTATATAAAAATTATTTGGTGCTCTCTGTTAATGGTTCTTATTTTCTGGGCTTCCCATGGCAGCTGTGTCATGCTACTTCCTTGCTGTGCTGTTACCTAATCATGATGAGGAAATGAAGTTATGAAGTCTCTTTTTTCCCTGCCAAATAGTTGTAGGATATGAGAGAAAATGGAAGGAGAAGCCTCTTGCCCTAATACTGTCTTTGGCAGTGCCCTGAATGACAGCACTGAGACCTGGAAAAGGAATTTTTTTGTTTTCTATTCTGTGATATTGAAAAGTCAAATTTTACTGAAGCTCTGCCTTTCTTACAGTGTATCATCACTGAGTTTATTTCTTCATCCAGAAGCTGTGTGAGATGCATGCTCATCTCCAGCACTGAAACCAGGGGCTCACCCTAACTTCAGGACAGCAGACATAGCACTGATTTTAGAAGATTTTAATGCATAGCCTTGAAGTTTATTTTATTCAGACACAGAAGAAGCGATGATCAGTTCTACAGAAAATGTGGAAACTGTAGGGTTAGGAAGCCATTTGCCACTGGGATTCAGCTACAAGTGATATTACTGGCAAAGAAAAGCTGAAGTGGAAAATGAAAGTGAAAAATGAAGAGATCTGGTTTACTTGGGGCAGGAAACTTGGGCTCAGAACTTTAAAGCAGAAGTTACTTAAAAATTAAATAGGAAGTGGAAATGTCAGGCTTGTCTCAGACATTAAAAGTATATTCCAGGCAAAGGGTCTTTTCATGCAAATCTCACTGCTGTGAGAAATGTTACAAAACTACTGGCAAATTAAACAGTTTCAGTTTCTGGACTTGGCTGAAAGCATTACGGGTGAGACCCTTTGAAATTTCAGAGCAGTTTTCAAAACTATAATTATGTTATTTGGGCCTCACTAATGATCTGAAGTTTGATATTTGCAATCTGTTAATTAATATTTCACAAAAAATGGTTCTATAGGATGAATTTTTATGGGGAAAAAGATACAATCTTCAAGAGATTATGAGGCTCTTCCATTGTGAAAAAATTTAATATATTCCTTATGCAGATCATGTGAGCTGCACATGTCACAGTTCACACTTTTAATATGTTTCTGAATTACAAAAAAAATCTCAGTTTATAATTTTCCTTGTGGCTGGTTTCCATACAGTGAGGTGGCATGCCATGCTGGCCCTCATGGCATCAGGCAGGCACTAGTGCACATCTGCAGGGGAGAAGATGATAATTTATTTTGGCTGGTGCTTTGTTAGACTCCACACGAAGTACTGCCACTTAGAACTAATTTCAAAGCTTCTCTGATGATGTTGGTGATGACCTCAGACTATGCTGACATGGCACCTCTGTGTATCCCACCTCATGGATAATTCATTAAAATAAAGTAGGTTAAGCCACTGACGGGCCAAACAGGCTCCTACTTCATCACAGAAACCAGTAAGAACCTTCTCTGTGTCGTAGTTGCTGACTTTCTTTCCAAGTCAGCTCCAGACTCATTTAATTAGAAAAGAGAAGCTGATGTGGTGACTGGTGATGGGGGCAGGAGAGCTGTTACCAAAGTGTGAGAGGGCAGAGAAAAGGGGCTTTGGTTTTTTTTAAAGTCTCTTTTTTTCTTCTCAGCGTTTTGTCTATCTATCTTGGCCTCCAGAATTTCCTGAGCCTTTTCTGGTTATCCCCACTGACAGAAGGGGAAAAATGGGCTCAGTTCTGGCATTCTTACTCCTTCAAAGCAAAGCTGTAGAACAAGAGCTCTTGAAGAGTGTTGCAAGGGAGGAGAGACCTGCTGAGCTCTCCCTGCTTAGCCACAGCTTGAACAGCAGAAACACTCTAAATCAGGCATTTTGAGTTTAGGTGCAGGCTGTGCAGCTGCTGTTTTATCTCTGCAGTGGGAAGGTCAGGGCTGAATTCACCCCAGGTAATTCAGATTATTTTATTTGGAAAAAATCTACTTGCTGTAACTCAGATTGAGCCTTATCTAGCACGAGTTTACCACCTTCTCAATCCACCTACTACTGAGCAGTAAAGGTAGTGCTGTGGTATCCTTTTATTGTGGTTTAAATGTGCACAGATTCTCCTGTATGTACGAGGGCAGCAGGCAGAGTTTCCACTGAAACGTGTTTAACTTGAAGGTCTCCCATGCATTGTGTCTGCGACTGTATTTCCCAAGGCACACACTACTTAAATCTCTTTTTTTATAATTTTGAACCGAATTCTTTCCAAATGAGCCTCTATGGCTGCTAAGTAGCACACTGTTCAGGCTATAGCTTCAAAGCAGCGACATTGATTCCCTGATAAAACCTTAAGATCAGCAGTGTGCCAGGCAGGGCAGCTGCCTCGGCTGCTTTTATGGGTTTGTGTGCCTTTTGTTTTGTTGCTCTAGAAAGGCCCAAACAAGGAAAAGCAGGGTGCACACCTGCATGGCTTCCTGTAGCACGGTGGGGACTGCTCCTCATGAAAACAGAGCACCTTCAAATGCAGTAGGATCTGTCATGCTGAGAGTGATGGGCTCCTGTAGCATCAATAGCAAAAGGTCTTTGTACACAAATTGATAAATATACAGTGAAAACCATCACACATCTGAACATCCTGGCCTTTTCTCTCTGAATTCAAAAACCCTGTTTGCTGACATTAGAAGAAAAAGTTATGAACTTTGTACTGAAGTTTTAATTATGTCTGCTAGCTAAGGTTCTTGCTGCATTTCTGATTCTCTGCATTTCAGCCATTTTCTGACACTGACAGTTTCACTTTGTTGACATCACCACAGTTGACCTCAGCAGCCTGAATTTCACCCATCGGCCTGAAAAATATGGGAACAAAAAGGTATGCAAAGATGAATAAATATTAAAATATTGCTAGAGGCCTCTTGCTGCCACACTGGCTGTGTGAGCTTGTTGACTGTTGGCCGAGTCTGCAGCATAGCTCCAGCTTCAGCTGGCATAGCACTCTGATGACCCTATATTGAACACCTACTTTAAACCAGCTCATATTTTTTCCTAAATTTGGTCTGTGTCTTAATGGAAGTAATTCTGTTTGCAACTATAGGAGGTTTCACATTCAGAGACAGCCAGTGTGAGATGTATATTTGATTACTTTTCCTAAGGATCTTTTCAACATCCAGGAGAAAAGTTAAGAATAAAAAAAAAGTCCTTTTTTATTTAAATCTCACTACCCATGTGACAATTCAGGTAGAATAAATATTAATTTTTTAAACGTGCAAAAGAATAAGCAGCAGAAAAAAGCCATAGTTTCTGTTTCTCTAACTTCCAGGTTAATTTATAATTTGACTGTCATTATGGTTGTAGTTATTTCCTATTCTCAGTGTATGGTGTGGTGACCTCAAATCCCCACCCAGTAGATCACATACTCCCCCACAGTGGCATAGAGGAGAGAATCAGAAGAGTAACAGTGAGAAAGCTTATGGGTCAAGGTATAAAATCGGTTTAAAAATGACAGGAAAGGGTGGGGGACACAAACTGATGCAAAAGAAGTCACTTCTCCCACAAGCAGACCAGTACCTAGTCAGGCTCCAAAGAGGGGGTGCCATAGAAGGGCCAAACTCCCAGTTCTGTGGCTGAGCCTGGCACTGTGTGACACACAGCACCCCTCTGGTCAGCCCCTGGTGCTGTCCTGGCTGTGCCCACTCCCAGCCTCCTGCCAGCCCCGTGGGGGACAGAGCTGAGGGGCAGAGAAAGCCTTGACACCCTGCAAGCCCTGCTCAGCAGCACCTCCAACACTGGAGTGCTAGCAGCACAATTTTAGTTGTGAGCTGGCAGGTGCAGGTTGTGATGGAGCAATTAACTCCATTGCACACAGCTTCATTTCAAAGAGGTTTTTTTTTTCCTTTCCCCAGTACAGACATTTGCTGTCTTCTTTCCCATTCTTCTGCACCATGATAGTGCCTCCTCCCTTATTACATCCTCTCTATGATT